CACGCTGGCAAGGAAGTTGGGGGTGCATGGGAGATTGGGAGGAGACACAGCTGGGACAGGTGACCCAAACTGACCAAAGGGATGTTCCATACTATATGACATCATGCTTAGTATATAAAGTGGGAGGAAGGAGAAGGAAGGGGGGGACATCTGGAGTGATGGCGTCTGTCTTCCCAAGGAATCATTACATGTGATGGGCCCTGCTGTCCTGGAGATGGCTGAACACCTCCTGCCCATGGGGAGCAGTGAATTAATTTCTTGTTTTGCTTTGATTCTGTGTGTGGATTTTGCTTTCCCTATTAAACTCTCTATGTTTAGAGACCCATGAGTTTTCTAGCTTTTATTCTGATTCTCTCCCCCATCCTGTTGGTGGGGGAGTGAGCGAGCGGCTGCTTGGTGTTCAGTGGCTGGCTGGGGTTAAACCATGACACAGCTAAACCAGCAGTAAGTCCAGGGAGAGACACTGCCCTCTTCACCATTAGTTCACAGGACTAATAGCAGCTGTGGAGGCCTGGTGTGCTAAAAGCATGAATTCTCCATTCCCTCCTTGGCCTAGCATAGCAGCAATTCCGCTATAATGTCTTTGCTGCACACACACTTCTAATTATAACTTTTATAAATGTAAGAGACAGTTTCTTCAGAGTGTTTCTCAACACTTAGTTTCTTCCTATCTTCATTATGGCTGTGTGCAACTTACAGAGAAGTCCCAGTATGCATGCCTGGCACACAGTAATCAGAACAAAAGCCAGCAGCAAGTTAAACAGAAGAGTGAGGTTTGTGACATGAAGTTTTCTGAGTGTGTGCACTACAAAAAATAGCAATGTCTTAAATCTGTGAAAAACACAAACCTCATCATAAGTTTAATGTTGTGACTAACTACATATAATTTTATAGAGCTCTTTATGACATGAAACATGTCCACTAGAACCTGACAGTAAGATTTGATTTTCATGTATTCGAATGAGACAAACTGCACAACTCAATGTCAAGGACAAACACATCTCTGATGTCCATCAGCAGGCTGTACTGCTGATGCTAGTCTGGCTGTACAAGTATAATCTGTGAAATGCTAAAAAATGCTTAAAAGCAAGAGGCTACCAGAATGGAAAAACCAACCACTGCATTACCTGACAGACAGATCACAGAATCATTAAGGTTGGAAAAGACACCTGAGATCATTGAGTCCAACTTACTTCTCTCTTTAAGAAAAGCCTGGACTATAAATCTGGTGGTATGTCCTCTGATTGTATTGGAGATAATGCAAACACTGAGACTTCAGTGTCTCACTGTTGGGGTGGCTACACCATTTCTCTGAAATGAAAAGGGAAAAGCCCTTTGTAGTAATTTCTCTTACCAAGTCAGTCTGTGAGAGCAGATACACTGATTTCAGGAGCAAATGGCCATCGCCTGCTTCCCCTTTCCATTGCAGCAATTGCTCCAAAGCCAGACGAGCATCTTCTGTTACCACAAAAACATTAAACTTTAATTCCTTAATGAAAGATGGAAATGCTGCATTGAGGCTTTCTTAACCAATCTGACAAATTTAACACAATTACAGCAGCAAAACTCCACTGAAGAGAATATAAAGACATAAAATGATTTTGATCCAGCATCAGGCTCAGGTCAGTTCACGTAAACTGCATGTTTCCAACTGACAAGTTTCACTGGGAATACCAGCCCAGTTCATGAAGCTTGTCAGCAGACAGCACAAAGAATGCACAACAACCACCAGGAAAGCCATGTGTGGCTATCAGTATTTTTCTCATTAAAGAATGCTCTTCAGAATAGTCTGCAACCTGCTCTTTAGCTCTTATATGCATTATACATTTTCGCCTACAAAAGTTCCAAACTCAAGATCAGCATGGCATGCAAGGCCAGATCTTCAGTGCAATCACTCAAAACCAGTGCTCTCTCGCTCCTTACTAAACTATCTGGCTTGCTACACAGCATTTTCCTGTTCCCCTTTTATTCCTGCATAGAGAACAGCTGAAAGACAGCACATGTCCAGAATAAGTGGATCCAGTGGATATGGTATGGGTTATTACCTGCAGGTTTGCCATTGAGGTTTCTCTTAATTTCTTTTGTCAGAAGCTTGGAAACCTCACTGGCTAACAGCTGAATGTTGGGGAATACAATTACTCCAGCAGACTCTTCCCAGGCCTGAAATCCAAGCACAACTGTTAATTCTTTCTGACACATCATGTCTTTGGTAGATTGACAAATACTAATAAACATACACAAATACAAAGCTAACATTCCTCTGCAAAATTCCTTCCCCAGCCAGTATAGTCCATTGAGCAGCATTTCCCACACAGTCAGGAGTATGAGACTACACATACAGAAGTCAACCTGGAACTACCTTTTGAATCATGTAATACACCTACTAGAGAGCTTCTACATTATTTTCTACATTGAATACAATCAAAACAACATAAATGTTTGTCATACCCTGTGACACTAATTATTTGTATCAAAACATCATGCTGATCCCTTTTAAAATACAACATAAACATCCAAAAAAGAATCAAATTTATAAACAAGTCTGTAAACAACTTATAAGTAAGTTTATTACTTACTTGTCTAAGAATGGACAAGCAATTAAATGCAAAGCTTGCTAGACAAACAACAGAAGATTTGTTCATTCCCTGAGTATGACAAACAGATCCCCTCTTAAATGTTTCTTAGCCCTGTCTTTGAAGGGAAAAAAATTCAAGAGTAACAAAAAAAATATTCCAGCAGACTAATACTATTGCACCCAGCTGGATTCCAACAATCTGGTACTACCACTTTTATACAGAACATGTATGCTACACACATGAATGTATTAACAATTGTTCAGCATTCACCTCTGAAGACCAGCCTGAGACACCTCTGTCCCCAGCAACCTTGAAAATTTTCTTTACAAAAGTCTCCTCCTCCTAAAAGCTCTGAAAAATCAAGCTGTATTGCCAGATGACGAAAGGATGGTAACAAAAATAATGACATCTGTTTTCCTAAAATAATTTGGGCGCAGACACCCCATAATACTGTCTGCCAAGAAATCAATGCAATGCTTTGTAAAAGAAGATCCTCTACAACTATTATTTCTCTCTTTACCATTGCTTTCAATGACTTGTCCTTTCATTGCTGATGGCAGCTTGTGGACAAGCTATTTCTTTCCCCATGAAATACCAGTCATCTGTCAGCCATCAGGCAAGCACCTACGTTTTCCCTCATTTTACTGCAGTAAATGCAGTAAAATGCACCAAACTCTTCTTTCTGGGCTACAAGAGTGAAACGTAATTGCACAGTGTGCCTATCAATAATTTTCAATCAATGAACAATATTAAATACAAACTATTTTTTGTAAGATTTTGAACATAAATTATTTTCAGAAACACTCAGTTGCAGGAGCAAGATCCACCAATTCCTGCACTTCCTGTTGCAGAAGCGAGGGAAGATTTGTATAGAACAGAAGAAAGCTGGGCAAACAGAACTACAAGAAACTCACAGCCACTTTAGAATACACGGTGTTTGTCATTAAGCTATACCCCTTTTTCAGAAGAAAGAAGTGATAGATTCCTGCCCCTCTTCCTCAAAGATGAACACCCCCTTAACACTTCAGAAAGGACTTGTTATACTCACTCTTCTGCTATCAGAAAGAGCAGGATAAATTTTAGAAGTCCAGGCTGCACATAGTAGTTCATAGCAATGCTACTAGTCCACCTCCCTACAAACCAGGTCACTGTTGTTTCGATTTGATTTTAAAGGTGATCTTCCTGTGGGTCAGACACCAATCTTTAGAATGCCCTTTAAGAGCAGACCTAATTAGTTCCATATTCATGTTTGAGCCTATAGAAGATCTGTGTCTGGAAGAATATCAATGTGACTCCATTCCAGGATATCTGCCTTCAGGGGAAACTCAAATATGGTATCAATATAATCTGATTTTCTTTCTTTCTCTCAAGCCTTTTTCTACATGTTTAAGATTCTGCCACAAGTTCCCCATGTCTGCTGTTACCATCTGTCCTTCCTATTCCATGCTTCATGGAGAGATGCTAGCTCAAAAGCCAGCCATGTAATAGAACATTCTGATACTTTCTGAGGCACCAAGAGGGAAGATACAGAAGGCTTATTAAGATGATTCCCAGCCTAGGCCTGATTCACAAGCAGATGGCTAACATTTTCCTCCTACACCTTTTCCTTCTACGTCAGGGACTATCAGTGAGTAATGAGCCCCCACACCCCAGGTGGCTCCTGGTTAGTGCCCCCTCTCTCCAGCCAACTGAGTAAGAGCTAAAGCACTCTAAACCAAAAAGACAAGAGGTGCACAAGCATCTGCATGATTGAAACAGGAAAGAGAGAAAAATCCTCCAAGGAGGGAGAGGGCTTAGGCAGAGTCCACTGTTAAAGTGAAGGAAGTGAGGTTTCTGTAAGAACTTCATAACATGTACAACTCAAGAGGGCATGCATTTCCCCAAGCCAGCAGAAGGCTGGTATAAGAAGGGAGGAAAGGTCATATGGGGAAGGACATAGTGACTCAAAGCTAAAGGGACAGATCTTCCACAATGTACCGTTAAATCAGTGATGGAAGATAAAAATGCTCTAGCAAAACTTCTGAATCTAAATGCTAAGCTCCACTGGCACATCTCAGGAAAGTGGAGGGGAAGAAACTGTCTCTTTTAGGGCACACGATCAACTGCTAAGCTAATGAAAAATTCGTATCTCCATTCTGAATGTATTCTGTAGCAAAAATTTCCTTTAATAATTTAAAATCCCCTTTCTGAAAGCATTACTGCAATTTAGGAAATCAGTTGCTACAACCTTAAAGCCTGTGAAGTTCAGTCCTACAGAAAGGAAACACATGATGGGTATGTATGACATTGCCAGTCCCTCAGCCATACTTAACTTGCCTCCTGGGAACAACTGTCCTTTGACCCACAGGTACTAAAGTTTATTTCTCATGTGTCATGATAAAGAAGCAATTTCCTGCTTTGCTGTCCAACTTTTAATCTCTAAGACTTCTAAATTTTCTACTTTTTATCACCTTTCTCCAGTAACAATTTCCTCAGTTCTTTGAAAGTTTCACTCCAAAAGATTATCACAGCATGAAAGGCATTATTGCTATTCATATTTAGTTAATGATCAGCAAATCTAAAGTTGTATATAATCTCATCTCACCGAGACTTGCTTACTTCATGTTCACTGTATGGTATTCAAAAACTAAAGCTGCCAACAGAACTGAGCTCTTGAACACTAAAAGTACAAACCTTTAAGAAGTGGGGAAGAAAGTCCAACAGCCTTCTCTGTTGATCTTCTGGGTTGAGAAATGGAGCCATCTGCTCATACTCTACAAACTGTTTGCCTAGAGTCTCCCACTGGAGGGTATGGCTGTGGAGTAGTTTGTCCTTGCTGTGTGCAGGCTGCTCCAGCACTTCTGCTGTGTCTCTATCATCAGGGCTTTGCTCTTCCTGTCCTGCTTTGTCAGGTGAATCCTCCAGCTGCCACATGAGTTCAGCTGTTTTGTCCATGCTGAGATGAGACCAGATAAAGATACTGTGTTACTTAGAGTTAGATCATCTCTTGCCAGTCAGCTCTCCTATGAAACTAGGCACTGACAGTTTTAACTGTTGAAGTTAGAGAATTTAAGAAATATGGAAATGCTGTCAGTCATTGACTCTTTTCTAATTCTAATGGCAAAGCACCCTGCCACTGGACAAGAACATCACTACCTTGTAATGACATGAACAAACTCTCTCCCATGAGACGTGTGCATGTGCTACACAACTCATCTGGGCTTTGGTGGGACAAACCAGTAAACTATGCAACAAATCTGGATTTCAGCCCTAGCTTTGCTACTGAGCCAGATCCTCTCTTTTATACTTCAATCACCCCAACTGTAGACCAATTTATAGCTATTACCATCATCACATTTGCAACAGAAGAGCACTAGCCAAGAGTCAGGTTACACATTTCATCGAGTACGGATGCTAAATTAAGATGCGCATCTTTGATACATTCCCCACCTACAGTAGTGCTGAAGCCCCTGTCTGGAATAAGAGCTGTGTGGAAAAGCCAAAGATTCTTCATGTGGGTATGCTGGTCCAAAGAGGCAACAACATTCAGCTCTTCTATATTGCAGATGTACAACTCTGTACAATAGGTAGGTATTTTCACTATGTGACTTGTTTTGCTGATCCTGTAAATTGAAATGGTTATGCCTCAATGAAGGACCAAGGTGCTTCTGCAGCCTCATTCCCATAAAGTTTAAAATGGGTCCATCTTGGACTATAGGTAGAGGAATCCTTTTGGTACCCTCATCTCAACCCCAAGTCATCTTATCTACTTCACAGCCCTGTTTTCATTATAGTCTTTTGGGAGGTCACAGTCTTGAATCCATTGCCTTCTGTGAGCTCATCCTGCTATGCTGAGTCTACATAATGACAACACTTACACCAATGGACTTCTCCCATTTCCATCAAAGTCATCCATGTGCTTATTAATGTCTAGGTCATCATCTGACTACTCAAAATATGACAGACATACACAGTGTGGGCAGGTTAATGGGGAGCTGTCACCAAGATCAATGTAGCTCATTTTACTTATCAAATATATTGTCTTCCAAGAGCTAGAACAATCTTTAACACATCATTACACCTCCCTCAAAGGAAAACACCAATGTACCTTAATTTCTAGGAAACAGGTTCTTCATATATAGTGTCTCTTTGATTGCCATTCTAGCTTGTCAATAAAAATGCCAAAAAGCAAATGTAACTAAAAAAACTGAGCCAGATCTGCACTACCAATACATACACCCATTAAAATAAATTTTAAAAGAGACCTATGCTTAGGTGTAAATACTGATCCTTCACACTACAGCAGAAGCTAACTTACTCTATCACAGTCCATACTCTGTCCTTTGCTGGGAGATGGAGGACTAAGACAAGATCAGAACCATCTCAGTTCTTTAGCCTGATTCATTTGTTGTGGTGCTTTCTCTCTGATGCAGTTTCACTACCTGCAAATCCCAAATGGGTTGCCCAGGGAAGTAGTGGATGCCTCAACCCTGGTAGTGTTCAAAGCCAGGCTGGATGAGACCTTGAGCAACCTGGTCTAGTGGGGTGGGGTCCCTGCCCATGGCAAAGGTTTGGGACTAGATGATCTGCAAGGTCCATTCCAACCCCTAAAATTCTATGATTCTATGGAATTTTGATCAATTTCCAAGGAACAGTCAATATAGAACTTCCTACCTCAACAACATTTTGTGTTTCACTGCTGTTGTTTTCCTTAATTATCTGTGTTAAGACAACACAGCCCTGTGAGCAGAAAAAGTATGATGACTGTCTGCACAGTGTAAACAGGAAGACTCTATTCCTCATGACTGTGTGGGAGTTACATTTGTCATATGTTATACATAACCCTGGTGTGGGATTTTGGCACACAAGTCATCGTGAAGCTGGTTGGTTGAGAAAGCCTGGGTACTCTTCTAGGGGCTTCAGTGAGCATAGTTCAGTTACTTTTTCAGTGATGCTGCTCTCACATCCCAGATAGCACCACCATTCTCTTCTTAAAGGAAATCTCTCACCTTGGAAGCTATTCTGCTAAGCCTAAATCAATGCTGAGTAAGAAGCAACTCGCTCCCAGTGCCTACATTCACCTTGGTCATTTGCATAGAGAAACCCAAAGTTCTTTACAGAGGCATTCTACAAATGGTGAAACTGAGTCATGGAGAGGTGAAATGAAGTGTTTACACTGGCCTTAGGAGGTCAGTGACTGACCAGTCAATTGCCTGAACTGTACTACATGGCCCTGCAAATGTGTTCTCCAATTTTCTCTCCTTCTATTCATAATTTACTGAGCAGGCCTTTCTTGCTGACAGCCAAAG